CATATTTCAATACTAGATAACTATCTGTTTGGGTTTCAGATTCGATTCATAATTCTTGCCATCCGATTATTCCAACCTTTTTTAATTCATTCAAAATATTACGTAGTGGGCCACTACACAATATTTTTATTCAAAATAAAAAATAAATTAACAAATAAATTTATAACTATTGCTAACTTGTTTCCGGAAAGGCCGTCTAAAGCGGAGACAAATCATGTGACTCAGGCTGTGATTGGTCAAAAAATAAAGATTACGATTGGCTAAAAATTTTTTATATAAAAATTTTATTTATAAAAAAAAGCAAGATGGAAATTTATTTTGATTAGGCATGTGACAATTGTCGATCATTCAATATTAGCCAATCAAATTGCAACACGTTTACGAAAAATGCAATTTTTGAGTGATTTCGCTCATATAATGATAATTGTAACACATTAAATATTAATTGTCGTTATTTTAACTACAAGTTCATAAGTATTTTTTATTATATTTGAAAACTTGAGATCGAATGAAATCAAATGTTCTGCCAAGTTTTCATAGTACTAACTTTTTATAATTTTTTAAAAATTTACCAATCGTTAACAGCATTAAGTACTAGTAAAAAAGCATCGGGGTTCTCTCTTTTTACTTTTTCCATCGTATCATCTTCCTGATCAGTATTTTTTCAGTTTTTTCATGGTTTTCTTCTTTGGTAAGAGTGTTAGGCCCTTTTTCTAATCGTTTAATGAAACTTTCAACATTATAGTAAATGCCCTTTTTATAATATTCCCTATAGTGGCAGCAGCAATACTCTATCGTTAAATAACAGCTATGATGATAGCCATGCCCACAAACTAGAACTTTACTATCATTCAAAAATTTATGATAATAGTCACACAAATTAGGTTCCAGAGGGAAATTTGAACTACAATCTATAGACGAATTTATTAATAAAACTTACGTAGTTAAAAATTTTTTTTTTTTAAAAAAAAAAATAAGTTTTACTAATATTTATATTTCATGAAATTTAAGATTTAGTAAATTTATACATACGTACGATATGTGAAGTACTGATGAAAGTTTGGCAGATCTTTTGCAATATAGATAATACTTATTCTAGATCAATTGATTAATATATAATATGTTTTTATTAATGGTGTTACCTATACTGCAAGAGATCCTTATCATGCATTCAGAATTACGATTATATATATGAATTTATTTTTTTGTAATCTTACAATTACTATGTATATCAAAATCATAAAAGGATTATCATTTGTTTTCAAAAAGGTGTAAACAGACGCATTACAAAATTACACAGATTTCCAAAATTTTCAAAGCCAGTTCTAATCGATTTTCAATTTTTACTAATGATAATTTTCTAATTCTTTGATTCCTTACATAGGTATGTGAAAATTGTTGTTCACACCTTTTTGAAAACAGCTGTAATTAATAATACTCTAACCAAATGTGAATAAGTGGAAACTTTTCTACTAATTTCCAATGGATCAGGATATTATTACAAATTTATTTATTAATTTTATAGTTTTACCTGTAGATAGACATTTTGTATTTACAATTTCATCCAGGGTAGCCAAATAGTATTCTGACTTTTTTTTGTTGTAGATTTTGCTTTTTCTACGATTTTTGAAAATTTTTTGTAAATGATTAAGAAGAAAAGTTTTTTCTGTTAAAAAGTTTAATTCAGATAGTGTATAAGGATATCGTCTTGTTTTAATAAAGGCATCCCATAATTTTTCATTATTCTGCATATCTAAATGTATTGTAAATTTTATTAGTATTTTAATGAATAGCTGCTTGATCGATTCTAAGAATGTGTGGTCAGGGTTGTTGGTATGTAGTAATTAGTTATGCAATTATGATGTATGCTTGGAATTTCTTAGTTTTTTCAGCGAATATGTAATAATTGAGTAAGTATGAGGCAATTGAGTAAATATGAGTCGATTAAGTAAGTATGAGGTAGTTAGATCATAGTATTTTAGTAAACTTGAGGGTCAACATAAGTTAATTCTGTCTTTTCTATGAACTTGACTTTCATTCTGATTACATCGACCCTTCCTCCGCCCCAATATTATTTTGATTGGCTTGTTGAGACGGCAGTCATAAAATTGTGATGACAGTCACATATATATATAAAAATAGTTTGTCGCAATACCGTGATTTGTAGTTGATACAACATTGTTTTGATTGGCCTGTACTATTACAGTCTAATGCATAGAAATAACTGGTTTTGATAACATGATTTGTAGTTCAAAAAAAAAAAAAAAATAATAATAATAATAATTAGAAATTTAATACTCATCAACTGCATAGGTTGCTTGATGGCAGAAGGACAATACCCGTTTATGTTTTTCATAATAATATACTTATAAATAAGAGACAAAATAAATAATTAAAATACATACCGATTACATAAGCTTGCCTTATAATATTTTCAGCCGTTGAGTTTGAAGAAGTTTGCGTACGAATTTTACTATGAAAATTCTCAACATAGTATTCATTAAAATTTACTAAAGAAAGTTTAAATGCTTCAAAAAATGGATGGTTAGTATCTTGCCAATAAAAAATATCAGATAAAAATGCAAGTGGTGCTTTGTTATAATTATGACGATGCCATCGTAACATAAATGTCCAAATGCGAAATATTGTTTCAATATATTCATTAAACGAGCCAGACCGAAAAAGGACAGAATATACTTCTAATATGGTTGGAATCAAATTATCTAAAAGATCAAAAACTGTGCAGTATTCAATATCTTTACAATTTAACCCAAATTTTACTATAATCTTTTCTCTAATTTTACACCAACCACTATATGCTAACTCTAATAATAGGTTAATTCGCCATGGTTTAGGATTCTTAGCTAACTTTTTTTTTTTGCCAAAAATGAAATGAAACAATTTTTTAAAAAAAGAATAATATATAATCATAATATGCTCTTGGCTATTCAAAGAAACATGTAATGGTCCTAATAGTGGAATAAATGAACATATCTCACAGGGAATATTAAATGAAGATTTATTTAAATTTGTAATTGCCTTCTGAATAAAAAGCTGACCAGGCCAATCTGCTACAATAAGTGCTACGCAATTATGTAAGTGTCTACTATCTTTATTAATTATTAATACTATTTGAAGTACATTAATATAGTCATATATAGAATACAAATTTTTTTCTTGAAATCCGATTAATCGTACATCTTTTGTAGATCATTTTTCTTTTCGCTCACTTATTGTATCATCATAAACATGAACTGTTAATAATTCAATATTATTACAATTAACTTTTAGACCCCCAAATATGATCTATTGTAGCTTTTGTACCCTATATGAAATGTTGAAGATTCTATTATATTGATGTATTAACCTAAAACAAATATTACTCATATCAATATTTAGTGGATTGTGAATATATGTATTGTTAAAAATAAGAGGAATTGATGCATATAATTTTACTGGTTTGCAAATACATATCGCAAAATGCAAGGGTGTCGATAGTGCTGTTGCATTAGGTCATCTTTCTTTGTAAATATTATGATAGTCATCCAAATTGTAAACGTATAAAACATTATTCTAAATTAAAAAAAAAGATTTAATTTATAAAAATAAATAACGATAAATTAAAAATAAAAAAAAATAAAAATTACATCGATATTTGCAAAATAATTTTGAATGCTTTGAGGATGATCTTGAACGAGTTTTTTCTTGTAATTATTAATTGTTTTACTACATATACAAACACCCAAATTATGCAATATATCAATAGCCGCAGATGATATTCTGGATGCTGAAAGATACAAGTCAACCTCTATCTCAAAACTATTAATGAACATATTTCTTGTATTGGCCATCATATAGCAAAAACTAACCACAGTTTTTTTTGCTTTGATTTTTTTATATGTAGATCTTTCATTAGGAATTAGTGCCCTAACCATTTGATCAAAAACCCACACAAACGAGAATCAGCATTCTCTATCATTAGTTGAAAACACACGGGACTGAGTTTAATAAAACCAGGTTTATCGCATTGATATTTATAAAGAACCTTTGTAAGTATTTGAACCTGGTCTGCAAATGAAAGACTTTTATTTGATAAAAATTTTTGTGTATTACAATCTACAATTGTTTTATTATTAATGTTGGCTTCGGGATTCTGAATATTACAATGTGCGACCAGTTTATTATCAATGCTTGCTTCAGGTTTTTGAGTGTTTGTTTTTTCTATTTCAACTGGGTATTTTTTTTTAAAATTACGATCGGGCTCAACAATGTCTAAATAATGACTATAACATATTTCTTGCCCGATTTCTAAACTATCATATTGTTCCAATGTTCCTTTTGTTTGTGTTTTTTTATATGCAATAGAGGTAATTTTTCAAAACATAGTAAAGTTCCTGCTACAATTTTGTATGGAACAGGGGCCCTCATTTCTTTTTATAGTGGTGAGGGTGGCAGTGACATAAAAAATACAGCAACAGGCGATATCGCCAATATAAATAACAGGTACATATACAAGTAATAAAATACAAGAAAAATGTACCAGAAAAGTTTTTTTTTTATTCATATATATGAGAAAAAAAAGTTATATATATATTAGTTATCGCTATATGTCTTGTACGTTTCAAATATTTTATGATAGTAAAATACATACGTAAGAATAAAAAAAAAATCTAGTGCCAGTAGTGTTGTTAGCTGACTAATACGTATCATAATTTTGAACAATGAAACATATAAAAATATGCAACATATTTTTGCATATTTCTACATATTTAATTGTTCAAAATTGTGATATTAGTTGATGACTAAGCCGGCTAACAACACTACCTTTGACACAATTCCATTTCGATAACAATAGCCAGTATAAAGCTATGCTATGTTTAGAAAATGTTCCCGGTAAGTACTTTCTCAGTAAAATAATAATAATAATAAAATATAGCATACCCCAATCTTTTCTTAAACGCCTTTAGCATATCTTTAACACAATTCTATTTTCGGCGCTATTATAATTACAGTATTATTACGTATTATTACTATGCATTTGTGAGAATTCTGCATTATCTGTGATTTCTGCGGCATTCCGTGACTAAATTGACCAATCAGAATAGAATATCGATCATTGTCGATCTTTCGGATTACAGCCAATTAAAATGAATTTCCGTCTTGCTCGCTTTACCTCTAAATACGGCACTTAATCGAATTTTAGGATGTTTTGTTCTTATCACGTGACCCGAAAATTTCGTGGCCGCCCTGGTGAATTCGAGCGAAATGAAATGAAGCGGTATACGCATACGTATGAGTAGTTAAGTAGTAATGAGCGGCGATGAGCATCAAGCAATACATAGCAACGAGCAACAATGAGCAGCAAGTGACGCATAGCAATGAGCAGCAAGCAATGCGTAGCAATGAGCAGAATATACGTACGTACGTACGTACGTGCGTGAATAAAAACACCCGTACAAAACGATATGGTTCTCGTGTAACATTAAATATCCTAATCACTGGTAGAACAATAAACCTTTTTCACTTTGTGCGATATGCAACTTTTCCAAATATTTTTTTTATTATCGAAACTCTTTACATATCTCTTTCACATGTAATATAAAGGTTGGAAAGTATTTAAAAGATATTTAGAAAGGTTGCATATCACACCAAAGATTTTTGAAAGAATGCTTGTTAAAAGGTTTATTGTTCTACCTGTGTAATAAGGATAGAAAGAGAAATACTCATTGAAAATCAATACCATGAATAACGAAATACAAATTTCTGTAGTTGTATTAATAATAAGATAATGATTATTCTCCTAGTTCGGACATAATGGTATAATGAATAAATGCAGCGAATCTGTGAATACGTATCCCAAAATCCGAAAATACCGTACTAATACGTACGGTGCGGGAAATTTAAAAACCACAATCACTTTATATAGAATAAAAGTCAGTTAACTCATGGGAAAGTGATCCAAATATGTTCTTAAGTGCATATTATTATTCTTTGGCTATGCAAAGAAATTCTAGACCATTTATTTAGATCGATCATTTAAGAAATTTATTTTCAATACGTATGTCACTAGTTTATGCATTATTTCTATATAGAGAGATTGAGGTTTTTAAATTTCTTGCACCGTACGTACTTCAAAGAACTACGTATGCATACGTAGAAATTTCTAAATCAAATCAGAAACTATTTAACTAGGGATTTTATCGGCTCAGTCTGTTCTACGTATTTATTCA